TGACATTATAATATAAAACCAATACTACAATGTTCGGAAAAACATCCCTGTTATTGCACCGTGGAAAATGGAATTACCATTTTATGTGTTTTATAATAATTTTACAACTTTAAATGTATGCAATAATATAAATACATTTAACGACAACACCATTTGCTCTAAAGGTATCAAACTAACTGTGAAATATTCAGAATATTATTCCCTATAATGCACAAGGCTTGGTTTTTCAGATTATGCCTTCATTGTTTTTATATACTGTACTGAAACCACATTTTTAAATATGTTTTATATACTGTACCCACTTAAATTAATTAAACTGACACTATTTCAGATAAAGCTATCAAACCAACTGTAAAAATCTCTAAATATTATTCCTTATAATGCAGATGGTTCGGTTTTCAGATTATTAATCAGTTTTTTTTTTTACAGCACTGAACCCATTTATATCCATGAAACTTGATCACCATTTAAACTAAAGATATCACACCAAGGTTCCAGGACTGCCTAAAAAAATTAAAAGTTCAGCACTCGGTGAACAAGTGGTGTTCAAGTTTCATGGATATAAATGGGTTCAGTACTGTCCAAAAAAATAACAAAAAAACAGATTAATAATCTGAAAAACAAGCCTTGTGCATTATAAGGAATAATATTTATAGATTTTTACAGTTGTTTTCATACCTTTATCTCAAACGGTGTCAGTGTTTAATTAATTTAAGTGGGTACAGTATATAAAACATTTAAAAAATATGGATTCATGACTGTACAGGAAAAACAATACAGGCATAATATGAAAAAACAAGCCTTTATAAAACATATGAAAAATAAGGATTCATAAAAACAACAAAAGGCATAATCTGAAAAACCAAGCCTTGTGCATTATAGGGAATAATATTCTCAATATTTTACAGTGGGTTTGATACCTTTATCTCAAACGGTGTCAGAGCTTAATTAATTTAACTGGGTACAGTATATAAAACATATGGTTTCGGTACTGTATATAAAAACAAAGGCATAATCTGAAAAAAACAAGCTGTTTCGGGACGAACGAGATGTGAGACTTGCGGATCCATTTGCAAGCTTTATTTAGGAGACGTGGTCAAGGAAACCAGTTACAGTTTAAAAGTTGAAAATAATAAGACATTTTAAGAAAGAAATCATTTACCTGTTGAGAGTGTGTTGACAGTCTGTGTAGTTGGATGGCTGAAGTCCAAAAAATCAGTAATTCAGGGGGGAAATCAGGGGGAGGGGGATTTACATTAAAATAACAACAACAACAATAACAGCAGCAACAACATATTGTGTGAATCAGGTACTTTTTTATTGATGTGAAATTGTAGCAATAATGTCAGTGCTCTTAACAACAGTTGACACTTGACATTGAACATTAATACATAGATAAAGTGTACAAACACAAAATAAAAACAAAAAATAGATGTGATGAAGACAAAGTTCCAGTGAAATATCTTCACAATCCTATATGATGCCTTTAAGTCCATCATTTTGGTGTGACTGAGTGGCAGTTTCTCTCTGCAGATGAGGAGGTTGTGGGATGTGATGCATCTGAAATACACAATTGAGTTTAGAGTTGTCCATTTGTTTATGTAAAAACAATAATGTCTATGAAGGCCAAAAGCAAAAATGGACAGAATGTGACAAAAGAGCAACAATATATTGTTGTGACAAGTCCCGGTAAGTCTAACGCAGTACACATAGCAAGGTTTTTCATTTATTTATTTTTTTTATAATAAATAAACAGAATAAAATGTAGATAGAATAGAAATAGAATAGAGTTCTAGTGTTAAATAAAAAAAATCTAACAATATGTATTATAAACATGGGCGAGACTAGAGGGATAATCCAGGTACAAGGCAAAGGTCCAGGCAGGGGCAAACAGTATCTGAACAGGGCAAGATGAGAGGGGTAATCCGAGACACACAGGCAATGATCAGAACACGAGAAACAGACAAGGCAAGACTCGGATAAGGCTAGGAAAACTAAAGCAGGCTCCGTAAGGTAGCTATCAGCTAAACAGTGATATACACTAAACAATACTCTGCGTTGAATGGTGGTGTGAGACTGACTTATATAGTGTGTGTTATTGGTAGCAGCTGTGTGTCATTAGTTTCAGGTGAGCTTGTGATTAGTGCAATGGAGCATGGGAAATGTAGTCTAGGGTGATGTGTAACAGTCTGTGTGGTGTGAGAGTCAATATAATGGGAGGGCGACCTCTGGTGGCAAGCGGAAGGAAGTTCATGGACAGGATTCGTGACACAAGCCTTCTGCATTATAGGGAATAATATTCTGAATATTTTACAGTTGGTTTGATACCTTTAGATCAAATGGTGTTGTCGTTTAATGGAATTATATTATTGCAAGTTGTAAAATTATTATAAAACACATAAAATGGTAATTCCAAAAACGGAGCTTTGTGCAATAACAGGGATGTTTTTCCAAACATTTTAGTATTGGTTTTATATTATAATGTCACGTAGTTAAATTGTTTAATTAATTTAAATTGTTCATTTTTTAAATTTTTCCCCTAGAAAGTAAGCCTTGTGCTGTTGAAAGGGGAAATAAAGGGCATATATTTATGTCTAGTTAGTTTGGGCTCAAAACATAACAGCTGCAAAGAGTTGAATTGGCAAAAAAAACAAAAAAAAACGAATGTCTAATGAATGTCAAACGTCAAACTAACTTTACCGCCGTCATTTTCTCGGTGTCACATTACCTTGCGTCGCACGTGGCTATTTAGTTCAGGCTGCTAAAACAAGTAGGCTAATGCACAATTTAATGTAACGCTTTAAGAGGCAGCTACTGCTAGTCTCTTTAAAACAACGCGAACAGCTCAAGTTTTGCTAAAAGTTAACAGGGCGGCAGTTTCGCTTTCGTGTTGTTATCATTTACTTTTATTATCTGTTGTGCGTGTGCTATGGTTTGCATTATAACTGTGCTTGTAATTTGATCAAAGTAAGGGAAATACACACTCCAACTCCAACAGACGCACACATTGCACAATTCAGTCTCCTTATAGTGGATACGGAGAGAATAGCCAAAGGAATAGGGAAGGACAGGGTAAAACAAAAATAATCGTTCAAGTACTCCTTTATAAGTAAGTTATAACCAAGCCCTCTATAAGACTTCACCACTTGACTTAACTTATATGCTTAATCTTGCCTTATTGTACCTATTGTTTTTTTTTTTTTCAAATGTAAATCTGCTCATCATATTTTTAGGATTTAAATCTAACAATGGACAAAACACATAGGGGAAGCAAATCAAGACCGTTTCCAGCAACAACATTATTCAAACAGGAGCCTCAGAAATCTGAAAGAATGAAGGTGACATACAGAATTCCAGCTCTCATCTATATCAGTGACAATCAAACATTCCTTGCCTTTGCTGAAAAGCGGAAAACTGCAGATGACACTGATGCAGATGTCCTTGTGATGAAAAAAGGAATATGGAAGGATGGTGGAGTTGAGGTGAGTCTTGCAACATTAACATTTATTGGTAGACAGTTCTCTGGAACGTAAGTATATTTTTACAGTTTTTACAGTGGGTTTGATACCTTTATCTCAAACGGTGTCAGAGCTTAATTAATTTAACTATATAAAACATATAAAAGCATTATTGACACACTATTTTCCTAATTAATGCTGTACAGTTGCTTTGACACAATCTGTATTGTTAAAAGCACTATAAAAATAAAGGTGACTTGACTTGACTATGTAGAAGACAGGGCAAGAGCAGTCCGGTAAACAAGCGAGGGGCAGTCGACGGTGAATGTAATCCAACAGGGCGAGACTAGAGGGATAATCCAGGTACAAGGCAAAGGTCCAGGCAGGGGCAAACAGTATCTGAACAGGGCAAGATGAGAGGGGTAATCCGAGACACACAGGCAATGATCAGAACACGAGAAACAGACAAGGCAAGACTCGGATAAGGCTAGGAAAACTAAAGCAGGCTCCGTAAGGTAGCTATCAGCTAAACAGTGATATACACTAAACAATACTCTGTGTTGAATGGTGGTGTGAGACTGACTTATATAGTGTGTGTTATTGGTAGCAGCTGTGTGTCATTAGTTTCAGGTGAGCTTGTGATTAGTGCAATGGAGCATGGGAAATGTAGTCTAGGGTGATGTGTAACAGTCTGTGTGGTGTGAGAGTCAATATAATGGGAGGGCGACCTCTGGTGGCAAGCGGAAGGAAGTTCATGGACAGGATTCGTGACACAAGCCTTCTGCATTATAGGGAATAATATTCTGAATATTTTACAGTTGGTTTGATACCTTTAGATCAAATGGTGTTGTCGTTTAATGGAATTATATTATTGCAAGTTGTAAAATTATTATAAAACACATAAAATGGTAATTCCAAAAACGGAGCTTTGTGCAATAACAGGGATGTTTTTCCAAACATTTTAGTATTGGTTTTATATTATAATGTCACGTAGTTAAATTGTTTAATTAATTTAAATTGTTCATTTTTTAAATTTTTCCCCTAGAAAGTAAGCCTTGTGCTGTTGAAAGGGGAAATAAAGGGCATATATTTATGTCTAGTTAGTTTGGGCTCAAAACATAACAGCTGCAAAGAGTTGAATTGGCAAAAAAAACAAAAAAAAACGAATGTCTAATGAATGTCAAACGTCAAACTAACTTTACCGCCGTCATTTTCTCGGTGTCACATTACCTTGCGTCGCACGTGGCTATTTAGTTCAGGCTGCTAAAACAAGTAGGCTAATGCACAATTTAATGTAACGCTTTAAGAGGCAGCTACTGCTAGTCTCTTTAAAACAACGCGAACAGCTCAAGTTTTGCTAAAAGTTAACAGGGCGGCAGTTTCGCTTTCGTGTTGTTATCATTTACTTTTATTATCTGTTGTGCGTGTGCTATGGTTTGCATTATAACTGTGCTTGTAATTTGATCAAAGTAAGGGAAATACACACTCCAACTCCAACAGACGCACACATTGCACAATTCAGTCTCCTTATAGTGGATACGGAGAGAATAGCCAAAGGAATAGGGAAGGACAGGGTAAAACAAAAATAATCGTTCAAGTACTCCTTTATAAGTAAGTTATAACCAAGCCCTCTATAAGACTTCACCACTTGACTTAACTTATATGCTTAATCTTGCCTTATTGTACCTATTGTTTTTTTTTTTTTCAAATGTAAATCTGCTCATCATATTTTTAGGATTTAAATCTAACAATGGACAAAACACATAGGGGAAGCAAATCAAGACCGTTTCCAGCAACAACATTATTCAAACAGGAGCCTCAGAAATCTGAAAGAATGAAGGTGACATACAGAATTCCAGCTCTCATCTATATCAGTGACAATCAAACATTCCTTGCCTTTGCTGAAAAGCGGAAAACTGCAGATGACACTGATGCAGATGTCCTTGTGATGAAAAAAGGAATATGGAAGGATGGTGGAGTTGAGGTGAGTCTTGCAACATTAACATTTATTGGTAGACAGTTCTCTGGAACGTAAGTATTAAAGGAACTAGTTCACCCAAAAATAAACATTTGCTGAAAATTTACTCTCCTGTTTCAGGCCATGTGAAATGTAGATGAGTTTGTTTCTTCATCAAAACAGATTTGGAATCATTTAGCATTACATCACTTGCTCATCAATGAACGTTTGCAGTGAATGGGTGCTGTCAGATTGAGAGTCCAAACAGCTGATAAAAACATCACAATAATATACCCACAAGTAATCCACACGTCTTGTAAAGCGAAAAGCTGTGTGTTTGTAAGAAACAAATCCATCCCCTGTTGTCCTCTCAGAATCCATAGACATATTTGTTTTGAACTGATTTGGACTGTTTTCACTTGTAAACACTGTCTTGTAAACTCTTGTTTTTACCGGAGAAGGCAATATGATGAAAAGCAATATTATGGATAGAGGACTCGTATTTTACTTTTCATTACTGTAATGCTTTTCTGATGAAGAAACAAGCTCATCTACATCTTGGATGGCCTGAGGGTGAGCACATTTCAGCAAATTTTCTATTTTAATATTACGCCTTTTTTATTTTTGTTTTTTCGTTTTCAGTGGGATAGTAGTAGTCATGAGCTGCTCACTTCGGCTTGTCAACCAAACCACCGCAGCATGAATTCATGTCCGGTCTATGAGAGAGAATCCAAGACCCTCTTTCTGTTTTTCATCACTGTTCCTGTTGGGATCTCGGAACACAAACAAATACATAAGAATAAGAATCAGGCACGACTTTGTTACATAACCAGTCAGGACACTGGCAAAACCTGGAGTGATATTATAGACCTGACAGCAGATGTGATCGGTGAGCAGGAGAAGGACTGGGCCACCTTTGCTGTTGGACCAGGACATGGTGTTCAAACCAAGAGCGGAAGACTGATTATCCCAGCATATGTGTATCCTTGCAGCTCACTCAACTGTAAACCCATATCACGTGCATTCACTTTCTACAGTGATGATAAAGGAAATACTTGGCATTTAGGAAAATGTGTGGATGGTGAGTCTAACGAGTGTCAGATGGCTGAGATCATTGACGACAAAGGTAACAGTAAACTTTACTGCAATGCTCGAAGTATATCCGGCCACAGAGTCGAGGCTCTAAGCGAGAGCAATGGAGAACCTTTTGACAAGCCTTCATCTGCACATAAGCTGACAGAGACTGGACATGGCTGCCAAGGAAGTGTGTTGAGTTTTGCCCCTGATCAAGCAACTGAAAAAACATGGCTACTTTATTGCCATCCAACCAATCCAAGAAAGAGAGCATGCCTTGGAGTCTACCTAAATAAATCCCCGTGGGATGCCTCAGGATGGGAGGATCATAAATTGATCATCTATGATGGTCCAAGTGGATACTCAGATCTGGCTCAGTGTGGAGATGGAAAACACTTTGCATGTCTCATGGAATGTGGAGAGATAAGTGAGGTTGAAGGGATAGCCTTTGTCCTTTTTAAACTCAGTGACGTCATTTAGGCCAAGGGTGCTAAATGAGATAGCAAAAGTCAGCATTTTCTTTTAGTTTGCAAATAATTAAATTAGTGCTAAGAATAATGGCCGTTTACTCACAAAATTGATATTAAACATAGTTAAATCATCAAAATATGTAGATCATACACAGTACCATTCAGAAGATTTTTTTGAGAAATGAATGCTTTTATTCAGCAAGCATGCATTCAATTTAAGGTACAATATGTAAGATTTTCGTAATAAAATATCCAAAAACTACTTGCACAGTGTTATATATTTTATGCAGTTGTGTATTTATGTTATTCCAAATGGTCCCAAGGATTTGTAAATCCAGAGAAATTCCCATTTTAAATAATGACTCGTCCCTGGTCACCGATCAATGGTGTAATATCCACATATCCAATGAGATAATTGATGAAACTCAATGTGGATTCATGAAAGGTCGCAACATTTCCTCTAATATTCGTTTAGTTATTGATTTAGTGCAGTATAGTAATTTATTAAATGGAGACCCTTTAATACTTTTTCTGGATTTTAGAAAAGCTTTTGATACAGTAAGCCATAATTTTATATTTGATTAATTAAAACTCTTTGGTTTCGGACAATAGTTCATCAAAAGTGTAAGAACTATGTACTGTGGTAGCAATAGTTCTATTAAACTTGCCAATGGAACATCTCCTAGATTTGAAATAAATCAAGGCATCCGTCAAGGTTGTCCAGTTTCTGCATTTTTTTCCTTGGTCGTAGCTCAAGTTTTAAGTAATATGATAAATCAACATTGCTTCAAAGGTATTGCAGTTCATGAAAGACAAATTAAAATATCGCAACTTGCTGATGACTCGACAATTTTTCTTAGTGATAGTTAGGTACCTCTGGCATTGAATATCATTAATAATTTTTCAAAATTCTCTGGATTGAATTTAAATCTGTCTAAGTGTGAGATCCTACAGCTTAAAAATAACAACCTATCCACTGTATGTAATATTCCTGTTAAAAGCATGGTAAACTATTTGGGAATCAAAATCTCTAAAAATACTGATGCAATGGTCAACTCAAATTTTATACCTGTTATCGAAAAAATGCAAAAGAGGTATAATTCATGGTTGGCGAGAGATCTTTCTATTCAAAGAAGAATTTTATTAAGTAAATCATCAGAAGGTCTTTCGAGAGCAGCATACCTTCTCTCTTCACTTAGTGCCCCAAAGCTTATATGCTCACAAATGGATAAAATACTCTTTAATTTAATCTCGAGAAACAAGCCTCATAAAATAAAAAAGTGTCCTTGTTAATAAACTATCTGATGGTGGATTAAATGTTCTTAATTTTCAACCAAATTTTAAAAATGAATTGGCTTAAAAACTTTTTAAAAAATCAAACGAGTGTTTTCAATATTGTCCCATATCATTTATTTGAAAAACTTGGGGGATTGCATTTTTTGTTGCAGTGTCCTTATATAACTGGCAAACTTCCCGTTGCTTTGGCCAATTATCACAAACAAGCATTACTTTTCTGGTCACTTTTGTACAAACACAATTTTTCTCCTAGCAGGTGTTTTATATGGAACAATGGTAATAATTTAACATTTATTTTTCTATTGCCCTTTTTCTATTTCATTTTGGGTTGACTTTAAAATAGACATAACAAAAATATTAAACAATGCCCTTAATTTAGAGCCTCATGATATTTTACTTTGTTATCAAAACCCATCTTTTTCTGAGGAACATATTTATATTATTAATCTGTTAATTATCTTAGCAACGTTTTATATTCATAAGTCAAAAGTAATTAAAAAAACATCATATATTACATTTTGTAACACTGATCTTAAAATATACTTTGAAACCCTTTCTAATATGAGATCACAAAATAAGAAGCTAATAAAAACAATACAAATTCTAAAGCTTTTCAAAGTTATGTAACTGCCCTAATGTATGTATGATATATATATATAGTTGTTCTGTTTTGCATGCTTTGAGATGTGCAACGTTTCCCTGTTTGCATTGTGCCTTTGTTTGATGGAACTGAATAAAGGGGGAAAAAAATTCCCTCATATCCTCAGTTTCCGCTCGTAGAAAGAGTATGGCAACAAGCAGACACAAATGCTGCTGTACAGTTAAACTCCAAATCCATTACGGCTGTCGCGTGTCACCACCGTCGAGCTAGGTGGGCGTGGCTTCAGCAACCTGCTCCCGCCTCTTTGCCCATTTTCGATTATCCGGGATTGACGCGCGTTGACGCGCTGCCAAGATTTCGACGGCTGCCTCCGCCCAATTTTGAGCTTCAAAAACGCTCTTCGGAAATCTACGGGTGACGTCACGGACACTACGTCCATGTTTTTATACAGTCTGATTATAACCAATCACACATGAGTCTATGGGCTTATGAATGCAATGGCCAATCAGAGGCGTTCAGATGAGTTTTTGTTCAGTGCACTGCGCTCGCTAACTGAATTCAGCTCTGACGCGAATGATCTCATCATAAACAACAAAGCGCAGATGTACGTATGATGTAAGAGATACATATGATGTAAGTAAGAGATTCATTCATCAAACCGTGTATAGACAGCTTTACTGATTATAAGGGGAGTTTTTTTGAGAGTGCTTAAACTCAAGCTAAACTTAAGTCAGTCATAATGTTCTTTGACAGTGTACATGTTCTTTGCTTGCATTCTCTGTATAATTTATTCACTGTTTGAATAACTACGGAAGGTACAGGTAATCAAAAAATGTATTAATTACCTCATCCGTGAACATCCTCCTTAATAGCGTCATCAAACTTCGCCTTTGTTATTGTTTTGAAAATGCGACCTCTAGTGGCGAAAACTTACATATTGTACCTTTAAAGGGGTCATATGATGCGATTTCAAGTTTTCCTTTCTCTTTGGAGGGTGGTGACAGCAGCGGCAATCCACCTGTCACTCAAATGGCCACGCCCTTAATTATTCAGAATTTTAAGGCTTAATATAATTTAAACGGATGAGTTATACAAAATTTCATCCCCCTCACAGTTGTCATGAAGGGCAAAATTAGCTATATAGACCAGAATCATTTTTTGAACCAGGCTGTAAATATGTTTTTTTCTGCTGTAAAGTTGGGCATTTTAACATGGAGAGTCTATGGGATTGACTCCCTTTTGCAGCCAGCCTCTAGCGGCCAGTTGACGAATTACAGTTTAAGTCACTTCCTTGTTGGCTTCACGAGAGAGAGGGGGAGGTTGCCACTTGGTCACATCACAGGAGAGTGAACTGCCTGTCAGAAATCATAGCAGTCAGCTGTTTTAACCGCAGCTTGTGTACTGCGTCGTCACTGTGTCTGTCACGCGACTCTGTTGCCCTTTCGGGCTTGAACTGATGGTAAAACTAACGACATTATTAACTGTCTTGATATTTACTTTGAAAGCTGATGCTCGCGATTATGGTAAGGGGCGTTACATTTCAGGCACTGCTTGTGGTGTTCGGCCAATCACAATGCACTGGGTCAGCTGGCCAATCAGAGCAGACTGCGCTTGTCAAAGGAGGGGGCTTTGTTGAAAACGAGTGTTTGAGAGAGGCGGGGCATAGAGGACCTACAATAATGTACAGTATTTGAAAAATAATGTGTTTTTTGAACATTAAAGCATGTCAGCATATTCTGTTACACCAAATACACGAATAATGATATTTAATATAGCATCATATGACCCCTTTAATCAGAAAATCTAATTTTACTTTGCAAATAAATGATGTCCTTTAGAACTTTCTATTAATCAAATAATCCTGACAGAAGTATCACAGTTTCCACAAAAATTATTAAGCAGCACAACTGTGGAATGTTTCTTGAGCAGTATAAGAATGATTTCTGAAGGATGTGACACTGAAGACTGGAGTAATGGCTGCTTTGTTGAAAATTAAGCTTTGCCTCAACAGGAATAAATCACATAAAAAAATTATAATAAAACTGAGAACACTCTTTGCATTATAATCTGCATTATTGATAATATCAATCTAGCCTTGGCAAGCATAAGAGACTTTTTTCCAAAAACATTAAATAATTTTACCAACCCCAAACTTTTGAACAACAGGTCATCAAAATATCTAACCAAAAATATACTTTATGAAAAATAGTTTTGTGCCATTATTTCTGTTACATGGATGCTTTGTTTCTGTTTTCCCTGTGACCTAGTTTTAGTTGTGTTTAGTGTAGTTTTTAGTTTCCTTTGTTTGCCAGTAGAGTGTGGTTGTATAGATGCTTGGTCTCCTTTGAGTTTACCATTAAAATATGTTAGTATTCTTCTTTGTTGTGTGCTTTGTTTGACTGCCTCATTCTGTAACGATTCCATTTTTATTGTTAATGTCAGTTTTTTTTTCTTTTGCAAAAGTACATAGCAGCTGCATTCTTCACCACCGTGACAGTTCTTCCTCCAACCCTCTGTCACCTCATCATATGCTTTATTTATTTTCTTTTGTTACAGGCTTGTTTTAAGTAGTCCTTTAGTGCTTGAGTTACATGTCAAGCCCTCTTTCATGGCAGCTTGCCAAATCTGTTTCATCAAGATTATATGAACATGCAAACTTGTGAAATAAAAAGTGAATGCAATCATGGCATGTCTCTGGTTGGTATGTGTCATAGTTGAGCATCCATAAGGGTTCCAGTTGACACTCACAACTGATACAGTGTGGGTTTTTTTGTTCTTTGCAGCAGTAAAATGTGCATATTTAACTAATTCAAATAAGTTTCACTATTGTTACTTTACCTCTTGAAATCATTAAGTACTTTAAAAAAAAAAATAACTGTAGGGAATCAGTATTGTGTTGCATATTCTGTTGCTTCTGCTCATTCTGCTGCATCACACTTTTCACTTCTCTTCAGGATTATTTGAGTGCACAGTAAAGATAAGGTGTGTGTTTTTAAAAAATTGTGCAGGGCTGTGCAACATTAGGGGTTGAGACCATAATTCATTTTTGACATGGGAGATAAAGTTATCCTGGTGTTTATAGTTCATGCACGTAACACGGCTCATAAATCATTTAATAATCATTCTGTAATTATTCCAGATATTCCAATGTCGCCATCACAAGCTCATTACACAGTCCTCAACTCCTTTTGTCCTTAGTGGTAAAATATTAGTGATAACATGTGTCAGTGCTTACCCCACCCAGACCAGTAAAACATGATGGATCTGTCTATATCTAAATCAGCGGTAACTTGGAAGACTTTTGCCAGACAATAGCTATATGGCGTGCCAGATAAAGCAAGCTGAATGGAATGTAAAACATAACAGTTATATAAACACACACAGACACACACACACACACAAAGCAAATAAAGCATATTTTTTTATCCAACACAGCCCCAAACACAAGAACTAATGCAAACTATCTCTTTTGCATTGCAGTGAATTGAAGTGGCAAAACGAGAGGCAGAATTTGTAAAAAAAAAAAAAAAAAAAATTTGTATAATTTCTAGACTGAGTATTCTATATTCAGTAAAATGAAAGCTTAAAGACATTTTGGTTTTAATTTATTTTAATAAAATACTGGTGCTTATGCTTATAACACTGGTGCCAACTACTTATGTCTGTAGTGTTGCACAGACAAATTAGCAAATTAATAAGATTATATTGATCAAAATTTAAATGTAAAATATGTAAATTGGGGGACCGTTTTTTCTAGATATAAAATGTGTATTTCTAACCAATTTAAATAAAAGATCAAAATTTAAATGTAAAATATGTAAATTGGGGGACCGTTTTTTCTTAGATATAAAATGTGTATTTCTAACCAATTTAATTAAAGTGCACGTTTAATAAAATATACTGTATGTTCACAATATAACACTATAATATTTGTGTTAAACATGTTTTGCTCCCATTACATCCCAGAATTTATTTTTTTAAGATTTATGTTTGGCATTTTTGCCTTTATTGCGATAGGACAGTATGATGACAGGAAGCGAAGTGGGAGAGAAAGAAGGGAATGGGATCGGGAAAGGTCCTTTGATGTATAGTAGGAATATGCAGATTTTGTTAAACACGAAATTCAATTAAATATGTAGGCTATTAATTAAATGAAACTCAATTGAATATGTATTTGAAAACAAAATGTAACTTTAAACAGTGCACACATTTTTTCATCCTACAGAATACAAATATGCAAATATTTTGATTATTGGTATTTAACATTATATATGTCTGTGTGTGTGCGTGTGTGTGCTAGTATGTATGTACTGTATGCATGTATATATATATATATATACATATACACACACACACACACACACTTTATGCTTACTTGAAAGGACAACAGTAAATGAAACAGAAAAAGATAAACAATGTTTTTCACCTTGCAGGCAGTCTATTTTAAATAATAATAATAATAATTATTATCATATGACCGCATGTTGACTTTCTTATCATCCTGCTCTTTAAACGTAGTTAATGTTTAATCTAGTTTCAGAAATGTCCTGTGTTGAAATAGGTTATTATAAATAAGGGATGTTCAGAATGTTTTGGTTTCACCTGATGAGAGGTTTGAGAGGTGGTGACAAACCTGCTGTAAGAATCATTTGTTGCTGCTGCAAGAAAAATAATTTCTGTGAGTATTGCTTCATATAGAGAGAATTGTTGACAAAATAAATGTAATTTATTTAAGTTTAAGAATAAATTAGTTGTATATGTTGAGTGTAGTGATGTCAGTGGCACCTTAAAAATTACTAAAAATAAAATATGATAAAGTAAGTAAAAATAAAATAAATATATAACCCAGTCTGTCAGAATTTACAAAAAAATAAAAAATAAATACATTTAGAGATGCTTATTTGTAACGCAACCTCTGAATGAAGGGGGTCAGCACAAAATTCTGCCGTTTTATGAGTGCCACTCACAGTTATGTTTTGTTTTTTTTTCAGTAAATTAACATGTATTTGTCTCAAATCATTAACACTAATGCACCAGTTTTTATTTTCATACAGCAAGAATGGCTAAAGTGGTGTCCATAGGTTGCAGGTTGAAGTGCAAAAAAAATCTTATGTAACTTATGTCTGTACAGTGATTATATTCATTGTTTTGTTTTCAACGTCTCACGTGATTCCTGTACTTTGTCCTACCTGTGCAGGCATGCTGCTTCTCATCCAGGGTGTGTCCCCTTTGACTCTTTTTATTCAGCAGTATTGTGCTTTTTGGCAAGGTTTTGATCATTTTTGTAACCATTAGATTTTGCACACATGATCAGCAAGGAGAGTGTGACTGCAGGAGTTGCGCAGCAAAAAAAAAAAAAAAAATCATTATACGTTACTTGGTCTGCTAGATTGTAAATTTACCATTTTTATGTTTTTATTGGTCAGTAAAATTGTACAGTTCCTTATTATAGGCCTACCATTCTCATCAGGTGACAGTAGAAGTTGTAAGTCTCAGTGTAAGTAGCAGTCTCAATTTTGAGGTAGAAAAATTATTTTATTCTATTATTATTTTACAACATTTATTCTTTTTTTATATTATTATTAAGAACAAAAACAATGAAGATTCCCTACAGAGGTATGCTAAACAAAAAATTAATGTCATTTACTGAATTTTAATTGGGGAAAAAAATTATAATAAAGCACCTCTGTTCAGTGTTCTTGTGATTTCAGTGTCATTTAAAATTGACTGATTTAAAATAAAAAATTAAATAAATCTATCAGCTATGACTTTGGAGACTGTTCAAAATTCTAACGGGCCATTTTTATTAATATTTTTTACTTTTTACATGAATCTACAATCTTTACCCTATACAATGACAAAGCAAAAAAAAAAAAAACAGAATTGCGATGACTGCAAATTAATAATAATAATAATAATAATAATAAAATAAATAGTTGCATTGCATACTATGACTTGTCTATTGTCTTGTTACTGATACTGTTTATTCTATTTCCAGGGCTAAATTTTAACAATGGGTAACAAGACACCATCAAGAAACAATTCAGGATGTCTTAAAGAAATAAACAAAACAACAATATTCAAACAGGAACAGCCCCAAACCTGGTGTTGCTGTTGTGAAAAACAGGTGTCATACAGAATTCCAGCTCTCGTCTATCTCAGTGTCGACCAAACCTTCCTTGCCTTTGCTGAAAAGAGAAAAACATTAAGTGACACAAACGCAGAAGTACTTGTGCTGAGAAGAGGAACATGGAAGGATGCCAAGAATCAAGAAGTTGAGGTACAAAATAATTAAATATTATTCATGCCAGTTTTCTTAACAACTTAACTATTTCAGAGATGCTTTACACAGCCTGGCATGAACACAGTCATGATGCTTTTATATTTCAGTGGGACAGTGGTCATCAGGTGCTCTCTTCAGCTTGTCTACCAAACCACCGCAGCATGAATCCATGTCCGGTCTATGAAAGAGAATCCAAGACCCTCTTTCTGTTTTTTGTCTGTGTTCCCACTCGAGTCTCTGAATATGAACAAATACGGACAAACAAGAGCCAGGGACGACTTTGTTATGTAACCAGTACGGATGCTGGCAAAACCTGGAGCCATACTATAGACTTGACAGCAGATGTGATCGGTGAGCAGATGAAAGAATGGGCCCCATTTGCTGTTGGACCAGGACATGGTTTTCAAATGAAGAGCGGAAGACTGATTATCCCAGCATATGCTTATCGTTACAAACCTGATTGCATATCATGCTGCTGCTTATCGTTTTGCTGTTTCACACCTTATGCCTTAGCATTCTACAGTGATGATCAAGGAATCACATGGAAGGTGGGGAACCAAATGGATGTTGAGTCGTGTGAGTGTCAGATGGCTGAGATCATTGATGAGAAAGGTATGAGTACTCTGTACTGCAATGCCCGAACCCGCCTTGGCTACAGAACGGAGGCGCTAAGCTACAACTCTGGAGATGATTTTGGCACAGTTTTATACCCAAACAAGCTGATAGAGACCGGAAAGGGATGCCAGGGGAGTGTGTTGAGTTTTCTAGAACAGAGTAATCCTCCAAAGACATGGTTGCTCTATTCCCATCCGTCTAATCCAAAGAAAAGAGTGGATCTTGGTCTCTACTTGAATAAAACCCCACTGGATTCCTCAGGGTGGCCAGATGCACCTTTAATGTTATTGCATCATGGTCCCAGTGCATACGCAGATCTGGTAGAGCATGAGCCTGGACGCTTTGCTTGTCTCATGGAATGTGGAAAGGAACATGAGAATGAAGAAATAGCCTTTTTGCTGTTCGAACTCCCTGTGAAAAATCTGTAAAAGTGTTCATTTTCTTGTAGTGTTAGTACCTGCAAATGAATACATCTAATCATGATAAATCCATATTTTCTGTTTTTGTAGATGAAAACTGCTTCTATAAATACTGATTTGGAAACTGGGGTAGATATGGAACCAAACAAAGGCATTGTATATACAGATTATCATAATATATTATGGTATATAATATATATTATCATAATAGTCATTTTCAGCAATTTAGAAGGTATGTATTATATATAATTCTTGAACAGATCTAACGATTACACATTAAATGTATATAATAGACAATTTGATGAATATATTGATTTTTATCTCTGATTAACGCTAAATGTAACTGCTTTTGATGCATTGTGGCAGAGATATTTGAATAAACTTTCAAATGAACATGGTGTTTCCTTATTTTAAAAAGTTATAAATATCACATATTGATCACTTCTGCTCTGCATACTTGTCAGTAAAGTCCACTGCCAACACAACAGCATGCCCCTATATATATTTTTTGTTTTGTTCAAGATTTTGTTCCCCCAAAAAAAGAAGGTTATATTAGAGTCTTGCTGTACTAAAATCTAGCATTTTAAACTGTGTAGAAAACACTAACATTCAAAAACATCTGTTTCTCATGAGATATGTGCTGTACCACGACCAAAGGTCAGTGGAAAAACCTTTCCCACCCAAAGGAAGTATCTGATGATAACAAACCTTGGAGTCCTGCCTGGAATGCAGGGGCTTCACCCTTCTGCCTGCCCAAAATAATAGTACTGTGTATGATGTAGAACTTTTTCTAAACATGTTTTCTTAAAGTTTTTTTTTTTTATGTGCCTTTTTACAGTGTTCTTCAATGTGATTTACTGTACATTAGGAGGGCTCCAGACAAAAAAATCACTTAAAGGGGTCATATGATGCTATTTTAAAGATCATTATTTTGTGTATTTGGTGTAACAGAATATGTTGACATGCTTTAATGTTCAAAAA